ATAAACAACGATAGATTCGAAATAGGTGTACGCATAGAATTATTTTGATAAGTTTTACCAGTTATACTTTTCAGGTTCTACTTAACGCCGCTCGAAACTGGGCCTGCGCCTGCGTCACTGTCCACCGCCATAGAAAATATAATAAAAATTATTTTAATAAAATATGTAATAAGTCATGATGTTTATAAAATATGTAATATATACGTTGTCAAATCGAGACGGACAGTTTCGAATGTAATAGTGTTGCAAGTAAGCAAACTTGTATGTCCCTTGAACAAGTTAGTTCAATTCTTAGAAACGGTAAAAGCTACTTGTAAGTTACTATGAAAAATATTTTTATAAGAAAAGGTTTCTTCTATTACTGTACAATTTTCAAAGAAAAACAGTTATTTTATAAAATTATGTCTGCAAATTCTCCCTATGATTTTTTTAATAGCCAACATTTTTTTTAATAAAACCCGCACTATGAATACGTTTTTCATCAGCGTAACGATATCGTAAAGTAAAGATAAGATTGAAATTTAGAATCGTTTGGCAAGAATTTGGGGGAGTAAGCTAATTTATTTGGTAGAGGTTTGATCCCCGATCATAATAATACCACTCCCATTAAAAGGTAATGCACCGTTCTTGAGAAAAACCAAACAGAAAATCCCAATACCATAGAACTAACATCAAAATGATAACTCAAAATGAATAAGGGGGTGGAAGGTAGTGAAAAGGGAGGCGGGGGAGTTGTAGAGTCGCCCCGTACTTCGACATCCTGCCCCGGACATGCTTAGTTTTTTTATAAATTTTTGAAAATCTAATTTTGAGGTTACGTTTTCGTAATGTTTTTGACTATAAACCCGATTTATGGGAGGAGAGAGTTAGGGGAGGAAAACAGCACGTAGCGCAATCGAGGGAAGCCCGGTCGACGGAGCCGGCGACCCATCTCTCTTTTGGTCTGCCTTTTGCACGTGTTCCAGCTGGTCCTTGCCACTCTGTCACCGATTTAGTCCATCTTTGGTCTGAAATGCGTGCTAAATGTCCTGCCCATCGCCATTTCAACCTTTGACCGTATTGAAGAACGTCTATTACTTCTGTTTTGTTCCTTAATTCCAAGTTGCTTACTCTGTCTTTCAATTTTATGTTAAGAATTGTCCTTTCCATTCGTCTTTGACATTTTGCGATCTTGTTACTGTTGTGTTTGTTAAATATCCATGTTTGGCATCCATAAGTAAGGCAGGGCAGTATACAACAATCTATTATTTTCTTTTTTGAGTGTTATAGGTAGAGTCGATTTTAGAATCTCCTTGTGGGTCCAGAATTTACCCCAACTTGATATTATTCTCCTTTGGATTTCGTCAACGTGTCTCGTTCTTTTGAATGATATTAATTTACCGAGATACACATATTCATCAACATATTCTAATGGAATGTTGTTCACAATTATAGGTATTTGAGCTCTATTCGTCATTACTTTGGTTTTAATAGTGTTTAGTTGCAGGCCTACATTTTGACTGGCGTTGTTTAGCTCATTTACCATTGACTCTATCTGTTTTGCTGACTCGGAAAATATTACTAGATCGTCTACAAATCTAAGATGGCTGAGGTAGTTCCCTTTTATATTTAAAACACCTTACTCTCCCAAATTCCTGCCAAACGATTCTAAATCCAACCCAAAGATAATTAACGACCTTGAACGGAATCTCGGCTTTAGAGACTTGCATTTATCGTAAGAATCGTTACGGCAAGCGATTTTTTTCATTATTAATTAGCGATCGGTAGTTTGCGATGACGTCGCTATCTATATCGAGACTGCAGTCACTGGTGTGGAGTTCACTATAACATTCCCAAAATAATCGATTCTTCGATCACTGGCGCACACTTTAAATTCCACTAAGAAAAATTTTGAGCATTCTAGATCAATCATTCGGATTGACATTCAAATATTCCGCTCTTTCAATGGGAAAATACTAGGATACCTGCGATTAACCAACATGTATCCAAAGGAGAAAAGGCCTTATGGAAAACACAACGAGCATGGCTCTCGCCATAGATTGATAATTTCATAATGACTTGTATTAAAAAATACAAATGATTTTGAAGGGATCGTTAAGAAAAAAAGGCATTAACTAGATACCTAATATAAAAAGTAAAGTTACAGCCTATATACGTCCCACTGCTGGGCACGGGCCTCCCCTCATTTCTGAGAGGGTTTTAGGGCAAGGAATAGTCCGCCGCGCTGCCTCAATGCGTGTTGGCGAACTTCACATGTCTTCGAAATATTTTTTTTTCTTATTTCTCAGACATGCAGTTGTCCCGCCGCATGGATTTGGGAATCTACCTTTTTAATTGCCTGTAGGTTGTCAAATCTACTAAAGACTGCACCTTCATCTCCCGTCTAACAGCCATGAGAATAGAACTTGGAGAGTTTTTGTGTTCTTCTGGAACAGATCTTTACAGATTTTAGCTCCAACCGCATGGACAGGACAACAAGATTGTTATTCATGTCGTCCACTATAATACAGTCTTCTAGGCAACGAAAATTATTTTCTAACTCGAGCTGAAAATTTTCTGGTCTTATTTTGGTCTTCTGGTCGTCATAATAATTTCATTCTCATTTTTTGTTGGCAACCGAACCTCCACCGGATATTCTTAGCACACCCTTAACCGCCGTTACCATTGATGCCACCGTAGCCAGAAATAACGCGGCAGCCGGGGACTGGGGGCCGTTTATTTGTTTCGTTAAATACTCATGAGGAGTATTTTTCCATAATTGTCAAGCGAGCTTGGCGAGCGAGTTGGCAACCGCAGTTTTATTGCTTTTTGTTGTTACCGGAAAGATGCCGCTGTCTATTGCCTCAAATTTCCGTTGTCGCCTCTTACGACATCCACGGTAATATATGAGGTAGTAGGTACACTTACCCGCCACTATACGGGAAATAGCTTAAATTTAAATAGTTATAAATTTCGTATTGAGTGTGGTTTTCTTTTACCTCTGCATTGGTCAGAGAGAAATAATTAGTATTGTCATAGACCCTAGTTAGTGGTAATAAAGCCTAGCTCTATATAAGATAGCTATTTAAATATAACAGATGGACACTTATTTTTAATTTTATGTACAGATATTTATAATAGTAGCAAATAATTACAATATACTACTACGTCTGGGCGTGTTGTCAAATTTTTTGAACATAACAACGTGTTATTTTGTTCTATGCCAAAACACTAAGTGTAAGCGGCAATAAATATTGTTATAAACTTGGCATTGATACAACGAAAGCGTCTAAAGTGAGTGCACGAACATTAACTTGCGTTAGTAGATAGTGCGATTCAGACCATAATGTAATTTAATGGATAAACTTTACGGGTCAATCGTTTGCAGATTTTTATGATTTTCCTGTTCCAAAATATGAAATTCTTTTTGAAAATCTAACTTTCTAGCAATAAGTGCACGAGACACACACACACACACACACACACACACACACACACACACACACACACACACACACACACACACACACACACACAATATTCAATTTATTTAATAGTTATAGTAATAATTAAAGAACTAATTATTGAATAAAACTATTTTCACGGATTTAGTCGCGTTTGATGAACTAAATTTTAACTACCAACGTCTGGGGTGCTTTACAGCACAACTAACTATAACTTCGGGATTTCAAATACCTCAGTCTCCCCTGTGACTTATGGCGCTGTAAAGCACCTAAAACAACGGGAGTTAAATTAAGTATATTAAACGCGATAAAATCGGTAAAAGTAGTTTTATTTAATGTGAATTGTTCGTATCAATATATGAAATCATTTTAAGAATTATTTCAACAAAAAGGAAGTAAAATACTTATATCGCGTTTAGTAAATATATAATTTACATATTAATAATTGACTAATACACTACCGTGTGCCACTACACGGTGTCACACTATCGACTATCCCATATCATCCCGTGGGTGTCGTAAGAGGCGACGGAGGGAAAAACCAGGAGATGGGCAGCGTCTTTCTAATAGCAACTAAAATATAATTAAACTGTGATTTCCAACCCGCCCGCTGGGCGTGGCAGCCGTCACTCCCTTTAAGACAATCTGTGGGAAGGCCTACGACATTGCAATATAGACTATGGCAATATATGTTCAGCACTCGACGTTTGATAGGCTGTAATGAATGAATGAATAAATTTCACTTAACGAATGAACGAACTAATATTAATAATAATGATAATAATAAAAACTTTATTAGCGTAATTACATTCATTAGACATGGGTAAGTAATGCGTGTAATATTACGCGAGTAATATTACTCGGAGAAGTGATGCAACATTACTCATTACGCGTCAAATCCAACCATTACATATCACTCACATCACCCGCCCGAAACCATGAAACGAAAAACGTCGCGCGCGATCGGTGTCATTCGGGCATACTCGGGCTCTGTCGTGACGTACGTGAAACGCGCGAGCTTCGCGCTGCCTCGCGCTTGTGGTCCGCCAATTCCTGGAATTTCTCCGTGTAATGTATGCAATTTTGGTGTTTATTATAAATGTACAAAGGGCCATTTCTCCGTAATTATTTTTATCCATTAATGATTTAATGTAATAATAGGTTAGCTTATTTAGATTTGTTTGAGTCAGGCCAGTGGTCAGTCGGTCAGTGTTGTATTTTACTAATAGTAATTGCACGCGTACGTACGTTAGTTACGAGAGATAGTAAATTCGGAGTTAACTGGTCGTAATTAATTATTACGTACAGTAGGTATTGTATTAATAAAACTTTTTTTCATCTTAAAACTATTTAATTAAAGACGAAGTATAAATACAAAGTGTAATATTAACCAAAAGTGTGTGTATATAAACTCTTTAGTTAGTGTTAAGCAGAGAATTTTACTTACAGTGCAGTGTAACACTAAATTAGATACTTAGCTAGGTATCTTTTTTGTGTACCTAGGTATTCACGTGTGACTATTAATTAGTGGTGAATTTGTTACCTAAAAGTGAGAATATGGCATCAAAACGGAAATTTAGTCCTCTCTGGAACCATTTTGACAGCACGGAGCCGAAGAAAGCTAAATGCAACTATTGCTCAAAGATACTAACGTTATCTTGCAGTTCAATTGGGACCTTAAGTAGGCACATGAAAAAAGTCCATCCGACGGTAAATATCGCACCGAAAAGGCTTGAGTCAATAGATGAAAGCGAAGAAAATTCCAACAAGAATGTACAAGTGGCCACCACAAGTTCTACAATATCAGTGGTGACTACAACCACTTCTTCTGGGACCAGACCAACTGTAACAACAACTAACATTATATCAGCTACAAAGGGTAAGGTGGCCGGAACTACAGTAAAAGATTACATCGTAGTCAAAAAACCTCTTCCACTAATTAGGACGCAACAGCTGGACGAGCAGCTAATAAAAATGATAGCCAAAGGGTATCATGCCTTCAGACTTGTGGAAGAGAAGGAATTCCAAAAATTCGTGGACATGCTTAATCCTTCATATAAATTGCCCACTCGTAAAACTCTTTCTGAAAGCCTTCTTTCCAAGTTATATAACAGGACGATAGAAAGTATGAAAAAAGAAATTGGTGGTGAGTCAGCCACTGCCGTTTGCATTACTACTGATGGATGGCGCTCAGTAACGAATGATGATTATATTGGCATCACGGTCCATTTTATAGATCCCGAAACCCACATTTTACGTACTGTCATGATTGATTGTTTACAATTTAACGAGAGTCACACAATGATAAACATATCAGAATTTCTAAAAGAGAAATTTCGTGAATGGTGCATTGACCAGAAAATTTGCGCGATTGTCAGCGACAACGCGTCTAATATTCTGGGTGCCGTTCGAATCGGCGGGTGGCGTTCTATAAGATGTTTCGCACATACTATCAACCTAGTTGTGAAGGACAGCCTAGAAATTATCGCTGATACCGTGATCAAGGTGAAAAATGTGGTGGAGTTCTTCAATAGAAGCATGCCTGCGCAGAGAAAACTTAAAGAGATACAGGAGCAAATGCATTTGGCACCACTGAAATTGAAACAAGACGTGTGCACTAGATGGAACTCTACGTACGATATGCTCAACCGGTTCCTGAAGATAAAAGAAGCTCTTATTGCTTCAATAGCAATCATGACAGCCGAATTGGCCCTGACGCCCAACGACTGGATGATTATTGAAAAATCCCTACCGATCTTGTCCATCTTCTACGAGGTGACTAATGAGGTTAGTGCTGAAAACTACGTGTCCGCATCCAAATATATAGTGCTGTGCAAACTAATGTACACACAAATTCAAAAATTTTCGAATGAAACCGTGGAAACCATTAAAGGACTTGTTTCTTTTTTTAAAACAGAACTTATGCATCGTTTCGGTGATATAGAAAAGAATATGTTGCTTAGGGAAGCCACAATACTGGACCCACGCTTCAAAAAATCTGGTTTCAGGGATATAAGAAACTTCGAAGCGGCGGCAGCCGATTTAAAATTAAAAATTGGGAGGATAGTTCTTTCAGACGAACGCCCTTTGCAACCAGCAGAGCCTGTCGAACCAACCCCAGGTTGCTCAAAAGTAAGCTCACTTTGGGAACAGTTTGATGGAGAAGTGGCACGCCAGGTACCCGAAAATCCGGTTGCTGCGGGTATAGTAGAATTCGACAAGTATATGAATGAGCCGCAAATCAACCGACACTGCGATCCATTATTATGGTGGAAAGCACGGAAAGCCATCTACCCACGCCTTCACTCACACATGCTAAAAATACAGAATATAACAGCGACATCCGTACCATGTGAGCGGGTCTTTTCAAAAAGCAGGGCTAACACTTAACGATAGAAGAACGCGCTTAGCTACAAAAAAGTTAACGCAGTTAATGTTTATAAGCTGCAACTGAAGAAGTCAGATGAAATGTAAATAATATTGTAAAAACGTATCTTAAACTTGTCGATTTATGTATATAGTAAAAAAAAAACGCTTCAAGCACAAAATAGAAGATTCTTGTAAATATAAAAAATAATGTACATAATGTATATAATGATCAAAAATCATTGTATATAAGTTGATTTTTAAATACGCCTTTCTTCAAACAATCGAAGATTGCCAGTCCTAAGCCTGGATGGAGCCCCTTTTTGTTATTTCGTTCGTTCGTGGGCCTAAGTATGAAGGAAAATCAACTTTCCACTCGTGGTTAAATATGCATAAATATATTCAACTGCATAACATACCTATTGCGGTCCGTGTACTATACATACATACATACCTACCGTACGTATATACCTACCTACCTACCTACTACTATACTACACGATATCACAGAATAAATAATAGTTACATACACACACATAAAACTTATTTGCTCAAAAAGAATGTTCGATATGATATTCACAATAATTACTTAAAACTTGTTTTGTTGCATTACTTCTCAAGTAATACGAGTGTCGTCCGTCAAATGTGATTGATAGATACCAGCACTATTGTCGGTACTCAGTTGCCTGTAATGCCGAAAACTCGAGTGATGTTTAGGGTGATGGTAATATCACAAAGTGATATCACTGTAACAAAAGTGATGTGTGATGTTGCATCACTTCTTCGGGTACCGTTTTGCGCATGTCTAACATTCATATCCTTTGCAATAAGTTCAAAATAAGTTATGTAAAAAGGGTAAACTTTACGGGAGGTGCGCTTCAATCCAGGTAAGACACATCATTTTATATGTTTAGCGGAAAGTTGCAAAGAAATTTATATTTTTATTTTTTATTATAATGGATTTCCTAAAAGTAACGCCTGATTCTATCAATTAAACATAATTATTTTATATTGTTACAAATATTCTACCTAAGAAAATAATATCAATGAACCTACTACTCAAATAAATATTACATACAATTTCTCTCTTTAAATCTTTTAATTATTACTACATCTATACCATATCGTCTGACTGGTTTACGTACACGGCAAACACCACGCGATTCATTAGTGACATTGTTGTTCGAGCCATGATTATCTATTTGCTGCACATTAGGCACGTTAGACGTTGGCAAGGTTGCCGTTAATACAGTGTCAGTGTCGTCGGTTGGGTTTGGCGATGCGACCTCCGGTACGGCCGCGCTTGGCCTGTTAACTGACTCGTCGGACTGTTTGTCGTTGTTTACTGGAAACATTAGCGAAGGGCGGAATCATTTTACAGGTGATTCGCGTATTGTGTGACTGTTACGATTGTTATTATTATTACGTGTTAAGTTTACTATTTTGGTTACATCGTTTGACACTCTTCGCTTTAGTTGGTCGATATGTCTGTGTTCCTCGGTTCCAGTGATAGATCTGACTTTGTAATCCGTACTACCTGTCCTCTCTATTATTGTCCCTGCCGTCCACTTATCAACGCCGCGATAGTCTCTAAACCAGAACTTCTCATCTGCCGCAAATTGTCTAATCGCTCCCTCAGCTGTTTCTGCTCGCTTCTGCCGAGCTTTTAAGTAATTTTTAAAGAGATTTATCATTATCTTTTGAAAAATTCCGGGACTAGAAGCGAGACCACACTAGGCGGTTGTATTTGAACAGTCCTCTATGCGTATTAATAACAGTGTAGTTTCTAGACGTTTCATTTAAAATTAACTGATTATATGCTTGTGAAAGATCTAGGTTGGTGAAGTAACGATTACCACTCAAACCACTAAATATATCTTCCACTTTTGGAACCGGGTACCTATCGACCAACAAAGCTTTGTTCAGTGTCACCTTATAATCCGCGCACAGCCGTATTCTGCCGTCCGCCTTCCTCGTTATAACCAACGGCGTGGCCCAGTCCGAGCGGTCCACCGGCTCGATGACGACTGCGCGCAACATCGCGTCCAACTCTGCATCCACCCGCGAGAGTAGCGCGTACGGCATGGGCCGCGCGTGGCAATAAATCGGCTGCGTTCCCTCGCGCACGTGCAGCTTGACCTCTTCAGCAGTATACTTGCCCAATGTGTCGTCAAATAGATTCTCATGCCTGGAGATAATATCATTAAGCGAGTTATTTTTACATGGTACCATATTATGTATTTCTGTACACTTACTTAGCTTAGGTATTTCTATACGTAATTCAGACAGCCACTGTCTCCCTAATAAACTAGTGCTACCCTTATTTATTACATATAAATCTAACTGTTTTACATTATTATTATACTTAACATTTGTCTCCAAATACCCTATCGGATAAATAGCTGAACCATCGTAAAATTTTAATTTTAATTTACACATTTTTAATAGTAACTCCTTAAATAATTTAATGTCTGTTGAATAACTTATACAAGATAATGCCGACCGATCGATATAGCGACTTCCATTTTTAAGGGTTTATTATTTATAATTATGTTCATACACACCGGTCTATACTTTGCTAAAGACATCTGATACATCGGTTCCTCGCCATCATCAGCACGTGCATCGTGCTGATCATCCTCAGAGACGTCACCCGTCGCCGGCCCGCTCAACCAGTGCGCCGCACCGGCCGCAGCGTGGGTGCCCGCGCTAGCGGTCGCTCGAGCAGACATCCGCATACCGCGTGCCGCCGCCGGCCCCGCCCCGCGGCGCTGCTTCCCGCCGTCCGCGCTGTGGCCGAGCGCGCGACCTCTGCGTGACCTTCCTCGCGCACCGTTTGAATTTGAATTATCCGATGTCATACGACGATCGAATTCCTTCTTCATGCATACTCTTCGCAAATGGCCTTTTTTCCACACAGTAACTGTATTCAAAATTTTTATACCTGTAGTTTTGTGAGCTATGTTCTTCGCCACCGCACGCTGAACAATTTCTGTTTCCTAACTTATGTATCTTCTCGCTAAGTTCCCGGTCCGGATCTTGTTCCCGCGAGCCCTCAACAGCTCCCGCATCCCGCTCGGCTGCCTCTAGGATATTAGCTAACTGTAGCGCTTTTTTTATAATCAAGATCATTTTCTGCAAATAACCTCTGTCGAATAAAATCACACCGCAGACCGCACACAAACTGATCTCGTAGGTTTTCCTCTAAGTTAGTTTTAAACTCGCAATATCTGGCCATCTTGTTCAAGTCCGCCATGTAGTTCGCTATCGATTCTCCTGCTACTTGCCGTCTTTGACGAAATCTGTACCGTTCTGCCAGGATTGATGGTGACGGTTGCAGATGTGCACGCAGTAGATCCACCGCGACCGCATTCTATAGGCTTGACGGCTTCTTAGGACTCGCCAACGTAGACAACAATTCGTATGTTTCTTCATAGATGAGCGCGATTAAAGTTGGTAACTTTAAATCGTCCGTTATTTTGTTAACCACAAAATACATTTCTAACCGATCCACATATGCTGACCAGTTTTCACATCAAAGTCCTTGATTTTGCCTACGGACATTGTTGCGACTATTGTCTACGACACGATCAAACAAAATTGTTCCACACCGAACCAAGTTTTATCCTCGTCGCCACTGATAAATAAAAGGCGTGCGTCGAGTACAGGCATTTATTTGGACTGACGTCGGAAATACAATGCGCGCTTACCGGCTAAAACTCCCCGCTACATTTTATAATATGCAACAATCATGAATAATCATTTTTAACTTTTTGTCTGTTTTGTTAGGACTAATCTCGGAATAGCTGGTGGAGAGCAATGCAAGGCTTTATTTTATAGAAAATACTTGAATTTTTTTTGAAGAAAAGAGAAATTGATAATTGGAAATAACGCCACATTAATCGATACTACGCAGCCATAGAATGGGCGGGTCGCTAGTCTATACATATAAATAAACTTGAATTAAACAGCTCTGTTGACTCAGATGATATGGTGATACTGAAATATATCGAAAGCGAATAGATTTTTCTAGCACTTCCCATAGTCGCCTCTTACATGCCTGGACGTAACTCGGTGATGACTTCATTATTGAAGTTGACTATTATTGAAGTTTACAACCCAATATAATAAATATTTATATAAAAGTTACGACCTTTTACGTCGCACTCTTAGGCACAGGCACTCTCATTAGCTAACTCTCATTTCTGAGGTTTTAGGCCGCGCGACCCCTATGCGCGTTGGTGGAATTCTATATCTTTATATATATCAAACCACCACTTATTTAACTTTTATTTTACTTTTTTAGTAACACCTCGGTCGCAAGTCGCGTCGTTTTTTCGCTCTGTCCTCTTTAGTTTACATTTCCACATTCAATCACGAATACAACTTTCCTTAGAATATGGTATACTCACATATAATTAGAGCTACTCAGTAACTTATTTCTACTTAAACAGTATCTCAAATCATTCTTCTCATTCACACTTCATACTTACCATTTAGTGAATAACATTTGTCTCTGGCCATTTCTTTATATTTTCAGCTGAGCTGGAAGTGCGGTTAGGACCTTCTGCCGCTGTGTCAGCCTTCTGAACATCGTAACGGTCGTTCGAGTGAACTTTGGTAACTCGATAAGGACCAAGGAACTTTGCCCTTAGTTTTAAGCCGGGGTCTTATATATATATATATATATATATATATATATATATATATATATTTTTTATCGGAATCTCGGAAACGGCACCAACGATTTTCATAAAATTTAGTGTCAGGGATTCGGGAGCAGTAAATCGATCTAGCTAGGATTTATTTTTAGAAAATGTTTTTGTCCGTGTTTTCAGGCAATGAAAAACTGCTACCGCTCGCTTCCTGTCTTCGGTCCAAATTTTTCCTTTTTTTTTTCAAGTTACCTTCTTTTGTGAGAAAATCTATTATTTCGGGCCCTTATTTTAGTATTTTTTTAAAATATTAAAATGTTTATTGACCTAATTGCACTCACGATTTTTTATTCTAATAACCAGTTCAGTTTTTTCTATTATGTCAATAAGATCAAAAAATATTATTCATGTTTTAGTTTGTATGTAAATGTAATTTCAAAAAAAAACCCAAACAAAGCTCGGTCGTCCAGGTTCTATATATATATATATATATATATATATATATATATATATATATATATATATATATATATATATATATATATATATACTTTATATATATATATATATGTTTATATATGAGATATGCAGGTTGCCTCACTATGTTTTTCGTTACCAGCACTTGGAAAATTAGCACATAAAATTGTTTACAATTATTTCATTGGTGCAGGCGGAGTTGGAACTTATTTACAGCGAGTGCTTAGCTTAGCTCAGTTGCATATTTACTGCGAGTGCTTAGCCCCTGAATTACCACGGCTATATTTTTATAAATCAGATTAATTATTAACAGTTCCCTTAGATCATCATATTTTATAATTTTATTATTTTTTTTTAATATAATACTGAAATTAAAAATATATAATATAAAATGAATACATATATATATAAAATAAAATGGATACAACATCCTCGGTGATGAAATCATCCATGTACATGATTGGTTTTTCTTTATGATGTAATTTCTTCTTATTGGTATAAAACTGCATAAACTATTACTGTTTGAGTTGGTACAGTAGTGTAGCTTATATATAAAGGATTATCAATTGGTTATGAAATTGTCCACGCACCAGTCTTTCTCTATTAAATGGATTTACCCAGCTTCTTTTCTGCCATCTTCTTCTGATACTTCATAACTATACAAAATTTTCAACGGTTAAAATGCACAACACTAACACCCGCTATGAACGTTGGATAGCAAATTAATAAACGCCCGTATGGCAGCCCAACAGATTTTCTGCTGGATAGAAATTACGCGACCGAATGCTTTAAAAAAAATTATGCTCATTTGGCCTTACCCTAACAAAGAATATATGTATACGAAGTCGGGGCACTGCTAGTGTAATAAAATTGAATTTTCATATGTTTATTTATTTTTATGCCAACCGTACTGTTGATCGTTTTGGCCCAACTATAAACAGATAGTTGTCTGAACTGTAGTGCCGGCTGGTAATAAATTACACAAGAAAAGTTAACTCTTTCACTTCCGTTGGTTATTTTATTGTATCCTTGCCAAGTATTTTCTCGATTGTAATAATAGTTTCTACGAGGAGATACTTCTCCGTGTTCCGCTTAAAAACATGTATTTTAACCATAATGATTAGGACTTTCTTGACACACAGACAAGTTTTCCGATATAGAATAAGGGTGCTAAACGAGTGCGTAGTTCACCTGATAAAAATTCTTTGAAATAGCAACATTATTCTGCTATGGGCCATAGACATTCTTTAGTGATTATAGATGTACTTAAGATCTATAATCGAAAAAAAATCAAACGTAGATGAGTTGTTACCCCTGATGAATAAAATGGAATGTCTCGTTACCAGTAAAAAGAGTTTCTGGTTCTCTACACTAACTGTAGGAAATATGTTTCGCTGGTATTACGAGATAAGGTGGTCCTACTCCAATATTTCTTAGATGCATTCAAGTTCATTTCATAGAAAAATGATAACAAAATAAGTGGACGCTGTATCTTATAGATACCTACATCTATTCTCAATTAAGAATCAAAATGAAGATGTGTTGTCATGTCACTCCTGAGGAATAAGATGAAATGCCTAATCACCAGTAAAAAGGGTCGTCGGCTACATTAACGAAACATAGCAGAGTTAAGCTGCTATTTCACGCTGGTATTTTCTGAAAGCGTAATTTTTCTCCGGTTCAGTCGACCCATTTGTAATACAACAGCAATATAACTACAGTGTGGCTGTATTACGTGAAGCTTTTTACTAGGAGTTTTTATCCTCGTACAACTCCTCTGTTAAATTATTTACCACCGGCGTTTTTCCGGACCGATACGCCTTAGAGACCTTCAGGAAAAGAGCTTAATAAATAAATTAATAAAATAAAAATAAAAAAGCCTTTTTATTTCTTACAAACAAATGAAAGAGTAAGTAACAGTGTTATCTTAGTAATAAGACCTAATTTTTTTTTATATTTAACCTATGGTTATATCTATTTTTGTGTATTTGTTTATCTATGATTGTAGTAATTATTTTTTCAAGCTAATTTGGTTTGCAAGAACCACTCCTCGGGTGAAGGCCTCCTTCAAAGAATCCCAATGGTCTCTCTTTTTGGCTATTTGTAACCAATTTGGGCTCGCTATCTTTGTGATGTCGTCTTGCCATCTCGCATGGGTTCTTCCTCTGTAGCGTTTCCCTGTTGGGCCGTTCCATGAAGTAATTTTTTTGGTCCATCTCTCATCTTGTAATCGCGCTACATGCCCCGCCCACTTCCATTTTAGTCTTTGAGCATGAAATAGAGCATCTGTAGCTTTTGAAATATTTCTTATTTTAGTGTGTCTTATTTTTTGTCTTTTTTGGATATTTAACATACTACTTTCCATACCGCGTTGGCAGCTGATTATTTTGTACTTTACTTCGCTAGAATATCTCCAGGTCTGACAGGCATAAGTTAAGCATGGTAGGAGACATGTGTTCATGACTTTAGTTTTTATCTTTACCGGCATATAACCCTTAAATATTTCCTTTAAGCTCCAGTATTTATTCCAGGACATATGTATTCTTGGTTCTAATTCTAACTCATTGTTTTTCCTGTCAAAAGATATTTGTTTACCTAGGTAGATGTAGTTTTCTGTATAGGTAAGTATCTCTTCGTCGAATGATATTCTTGATCTTGTACTGTTCGTCATTAGCATTGTTTTTGACAGGTTCAGTTCTAAACCTACTTGTTTGCCGGCAAACAAGTAGGAAAAGAGCTTACTCCTTTTGAAAAGGCCAGCAACGCACCTGAAATTCCCCTGGTGCGGTCGTTCATGGGCGGTGGTAGTCACTTACCATCAGGTGAGCCGCTTGTTTGCACCCTCTTATATAAAAAGGAAGATTTTTCAAACGAGATTATAAAAATAAGCGTTGTTGGCATCGCAACGTTGTTGGCATCGCAACACTCGCTAACGAACCGTAACCGTAATCCTGTAACTGTTTTTTTATATTTCATGCATAACGCAATTAACATAGATGAAGTACATAAATACCGATACTTAGTCCTGATAGTAAAAAGTAAGCTAAACTGAAAACTGCACTTCTATGGTGTATGTAATAAATTATAATCAGTCCTTGGTAGATTCTTTCACTTAAGTAATTTCATGAACCGAAAGGTCTTGTATGCACTGGCTGACTCGGTAATTAATTTTGGTTAATTGATAGAATCAAGCGTTACTTTGCGTAAATCCATTATAATAAAGATATTAATAGTTATTTTGCAACCATCCGCTAAATAAAATAAAATAATGTGTCTTCCCTAGTTTGAAGAGCACATCCCGCCCTCCCTCAATTGCGTGCACTAATCCCGTCACCACCAATCTCAGCAACACTACTCCCAACGCCACTACTCCCAACACCACTATTCTGGGAAAGACACACCATCGACAATAATAAAATACAGTGTTTCGCTTCTACACGAGGCATCCTCAGGTGATGTAGACTCTACGGCGGCTGACCGCTAAGACTCACTTAGGTGACGGGATTAGTGCACGCAATTAAGGGAGGGCGGAATGCCCTCTTCAAACTAGGAAGGACACATCACTTTATTTTATTTCATATTCTCTTTTAAGAACCAAACTTTGCACTTTATTTAATTTAGTGGATGGTGGATACGACTTAAGTATTTAGTAAGTAAAAATGTAAAACTACAGTGGAAACCAAATTATGACAAATTGTTTTATGTAATATGTAAAATACTATCAGTGCATGAAAAAGTAGAATACCTCACTGCTTTAGAACAACATAAAATAAATAAATATAAACAACCTATAACGCATAAATAGTAGTATCGGGCAAATTGGAAAAGGTAAATATACACATAAGAAACACATAAGAAACTGTTATAGTTAGAGAACTAAGCAGTATTTAACTCCGCTAATATTTGATATAATTGACTTTACAAGAGATATGTCCGGAGACATAAGCACCGTAACACTAAAGAAAAGACTAAGAAAGGTACATTCCCAAGAAAAGTATTTAATGTGCTACCTACAATAAGTATTAATTAAGAAAGAAATATTATATAGTAAATATAATATACCTGATATAAGTAAGTGACATAAAATAAATATAAACTTAAAAGAAAAGAGTGTCACTATTGCCAGTTGCCAGTTTGGCGATGATTATTATTTCTGTGAACGCGTGACTTTATATGAATAAAGGTATTAATAAAATACTTCACATCTCATAATTATTTGAGATCTTTCTGCATACTTTTCTCACCCTTGATAACTGAACTGAAATCTTTTGCTATCTGTAGATAATTTAACATAAAATGTAGAAACCGTCTAATTTAAAAGTTCTCATAATTTAAAAGTGAGGGTTAAGGTAGAATGCCTCGTTTACAGTAAAAAGGGTCTCCGGTTCCCTCCAATCATCTTACTGCAGCATTAAGCTGCTATTTCATGCAAGTATTCTGTGAGGGCGTGATCCTTCC